GTTAATTTTGTCCAGACATCCCCAAGTTGACCCGAAAAGGGTCCAACAGTGTCTGCCGGAGCTGTTAGCAAGGGGGGAGCAGTGTGAAGGAATGCCCCATCACTTTTGGCTATTTTTCATTGTCTGGGTTCGTACCCAAGTTTATTTTGTTTAGTTCCCGAACTGAGACCACCCCAGAGAGCCATTAGAACGTGGAATGTTAAGTATCCTGTGCGAATACCACAACGGAACAAACTAATTGAATGCTCCACGGGTTGTCCGCCATTTCGTACATGCGAACGCACGTGGTCGAGACAATGGACAGCGGCCATTTTGTCTCCTGAACTCAGGCAGCTGGACTTAGTCGTCAAGTGCCTGGAACTCATCTCGGACAGGCATTCCCGCAAACACCAGTCATCATGGACCTGCCGTTCCTGTTCCACGACACCTACACGAATGGTGTTTCGAGAGTTACAGACTACCGAACACAGGGATCGTTCTCTACTGACGTGCTTTCATCTAACTTGTATGGTTTTCTCACAAAACTCCACGAACAGAGACCGGCTCTTGCCACAATTTCCCTGGAACTATTTTGGGTTTCAACCTCGTGGCAGACCAGTCCAAATTTCCTAACGATGGCAATTCAAAACCACCAAACGTATCTGGGTGATTTTTAGATATTTTGTTCACCCAGATCCCAGCTATCCGGGGATGTGACTTTTGGGGGTACTTGTGACGGACCGCTGGCACTCCGACTGAGTACCTCCGCCAATCGATGCTCCTAGTGCTCGCTGAGGCCTCCAAGCACTCTAACCGACACCATCAGCACTGCAGACCCCACTTCCAGCGATGCAACTGCGCCGGGGTCTCTGCTGTTTCCACCCACCCTGGATCCAGCTTCCAGTGGGTGAACCTCTCTTTCCCCAGAGAGCAGGAACAGGAACAAATCAAGCTATTGCAAGAGCTTCCTCTGGGGAGTAAGTGATTATAGCAATCCCCAGAGTGTAGGTATCCCTTCCCCCAAACATGAGCCAAGGCTTAATGCTGGAACAAGACTGATTTATTGGCACACAGAACTCACAATTTATGCAACACAAAACTCCTCCTCTGGGCCAGGCTAGATAATTGAGTTTCTACAATACACAAAACTCAATTATCTGCTGGTCAGAAATAATACAGTTTCATAAAACACACAGGGACCCCAAAACATGCAATAACCCCATAAAAAGTATATCCTTGGAACCGGGGGATCTGGGTGAACCACATATCCAAAATTCACCCAGATCCGTTCAGTTATTTGGAAAATACAGTTTAATGCAGATTCTGCAGAACATATACAGGCTAAATGAAAAACAATCACTTTATAATGTGTCCCCTGCTGTATAGTCCAAAACCACTGCACGATGTCTCTGTGCACCAAATACTGGCAAGATGGCACCGTGTTGAAAAGTCCAAACAGTGTCTGTGAGTTAAAATGGCGCCATCCATTGTTCTCACCATGTGCTTCTGATACAGGAAATGGTGGCCACCCAGTAACTCCACAGTATGTCTCCAGATGGTTCTTAAAGGGCCAGCGGCAGCACAACACAAATCCATTATGCCCAAATCATGTCTTTAAAGGGCAATACATCCCAGGGGCCATAGTCACAGGGCAAGAGGCGGGCAAGCAGTCCTCTCCAGGCACAAGTGGCGAAGGGCACTTCGTCACAGTACTTTTGAGGTGTTACAAAATTGTTATACTTTTCTGTCTCTGGAGATAATTGAGTTTAGTACAGTTTCTGACTCAATTACCTCTCAGGCACAGAGGAGGAGTTTACTGACTGTATAAATATGTCTGTACTCCCATTAAATCA